CACCACACGATTCTAAGCAACCTGTGCGGCCTGGATAAGAATTTCCTTGTTGCAACTCTGGTAGTAAGGTTGAACTGTATATCGATGCGTATTTATCGCCGATGCATGAGCCCATATGGGCACATCTTTTGCTGTCTACCATTTTTAGTTGGCTTATGCGGGTGAAAAACATGGTTTCCTTTTCGCATGTGAGTCGCAAACCTCGCCATTTGATTTTTATGTTTCCGACTGAGGTGGAATTTCCTATTAGGCGCAAACATGCCTCTTGTTTGAAAGCCATTATTTTTAAGATTTCGGATAGGGTTATTTTGCATGTTTCTTTCCCTGACGTTGTGGTGCAAGTTGTGGAGTGGTATTCTAAAACATCTATGTCTTGGCACGAGTGTACCAAGCGGTCATGTTTGCTCAGTATGGTAATGATGGCTAGCGCATCTGCAATTTTTGCTGCCCTTGTAGTACAACCTTTAAGTTTTTTATTTGCCACCCAAGAAATGCCTTTGAGTAGGTTTCGGAGAATCAGCGCAATGAGGAATTGAAATCCTACGAAAAGGAATTTGAGGGGTTTTGTCAGCTTTGCAGTGACTTTTATGATGAGGTATACTAGCGCAGTGAGGGTACATATCAATATTGCCATGAGCGCTATTGCTCCTCTAGGCCAACATTCGGGATTAAAGAGAAGTGTGGAGCAAAATAAGCAATCGATATTCACACAGAAATCAAGCCCTTTGCAATTGCTTTCTATGACTAATAGGCGCCCGTTTTCGTTCCATTTTATGGTTATGTGAAAGTCATGTAAAGTGACCTCGGGAGGAAATTTGACTATTTGTGGCTGGTTTTCACCGTTAAAAATTTTACAATAATCTTATGCGCAAATTTCAAAACTCTTGTTTTTTGGAAATGTTGCAAAAACTCCATCTTTTGCGCATGAGATTTTTGTTTTTGAGGAGATTGCTAGTTTGTATCAACGATAAAATTATGATATGGAACAAAAACCACTGCGCTCTAGGTAACTTTGGTTGATATGAAGAAGTTGCTGTCATGACGGCTTCCTCGTAGCGTACCTGACGTCTTGGCCTCAAATTGTATCTGTCGGTGGGTGGGCGCTGAGGTTTTGTTGTTTCTTGATTATCCTGGCGCTCTTCTTTATCTTGTGCGGAAGTTTCTGAATCATCGATTTCAAGCGGTATTAGTAAGTTAATTGGTCTGTGAATTTTTCGTTTAGAAGTTGTTATAAGTTCAGCTTCTCTTATCTGTCCATCGGAGCTAGGCAGTAATTTGGTTATTCGCGCTAATCTCCAGCTATTGCGCGGTAAAACTGGGTCTGTGAGAAGTACAACCTCTCCTAGTTCCGGGGTGTTTTGACTCGCACGTTTTGATCCTACGCATTTTTTTGTGCTTCTCGCGCAAACTGGTGAAGTATTGCTTCTTCCATATATTCCAGCATCGTTCTGTGCCGCTTATTTGAAAGACGCAGTGCTTCTTCTGCCTCTCTGCGAGTTTCCAAGGAGTGAATTTCTTGTGGCAAAAGATAATCTGAATCTTGATTTTGCGCTAAGAGATCATTTTGTGGAAATGAAAGAATTATGTTTTTTTCCAAAAAGTCAATTGGCCTTATTGAGCTAAAGTTTTCTTGATCAGAACTCTGATATGTTAATGGTCGTGAATTCAAGCAAGCTTCTATTTCAGCCAGAAAGGTAGCCATTTGGTCTACGGAAAGCTTTGGATTGCAGCGCAGTGCTTTGTATAGCGCATGTTTGATTGATTTAATCAACCTTTCATAGAAACCTCCTTGCCAGGGGGCATATGGTGTTATGTGATACCACTGAATCTCTTGGCGCGATAGCGCTTGCATGATTTGGTCATTGACATAAGTGCTTTCGCTATCTAGGAGATTTTCGCTCAGAAGAAAAGTGGGCGCATTATCACATTTTATTGAGGACGGTACGCCTCTTCTTGCAATAAATCGTTTTAGAGCATTTAGAAAATCTCCAATTGCCATACTGCGCACTAGTTCAAGATGCATGAGTCGTGTTACTGCGCAAGTGAAAATGCATCCGTAGGTTTTTCGTTCCTCGCTATTTTCGTTGCATAAGGGGAGATCGAAAAAATCTAGCCCTATGTGCTGGAAGGGACGGCTTTTTTGCACCCTTCTTTCGGGAAGGTCTGTTGTAAATGGATATGGAAATGGTAAGCCGTTAAATCTTTTGCACTCAATACAGTGCGTAATTTCTTTGCGAACCTGTTGGCGTAATTTTGGAATCCATTACTGCGTTCGCACTGTAGCCATCGTATGCTCAATTCCTCTATGGTAGATTCCATGCGCTTCGCGAATTATGAGTTTTGCTAAAGGGGTTTTTGGGATTATATAGATTGGGTTTTTTGTGTCTTCTTCTAGAGATGATTTTCCAATTCGACCTAGGGTGCGCCAGATTTTTGTACTCTCTTTATAGAGTCTTAAGGAGTTTTCTACTGTTTTGCGAATGGATGGAGTTAGAAGCATCTGATGATTTCGTATGATAGCTAGGCGTGCTGCTTTCATAGTATATCCGTCAACTCGAAAGTTAATCGATACGTTTTTTAGTTCTGGTATGTTAGTTACAATCTCATTTTTTCGTTCGGAATCGAATCTGCGCATGTTTTTACACAAAAAGATTAAAACATAAGCAGCAACTCGTTTGGCCTTTTCAAAAGAACTGAATCTCCTCAAATCTAGAAGCTCGATTTGATGAGATTCGTTGCGTTGGTTTAGGCATGTGCTCATTTCCAAAATTTCTTCTGCAGCTTCGTTTAGAAATATTTTATACTCGGCGGTTGGCCATGTGCTCTCTTTTTGTCGCAGAAAACATGGACCATCCCACCAAGTATGTTGCGCGAACTGTGCTTTAGTTACGCCCCTAGTTCCTGCGTCTGCAGGGTTGTCTTTAGTGGCGACGTAATTAAACGTGATAGCGACACCTTCTTTCTTTAGCGCAAGGACAATCTTCTGAATCTCTCGTTGTCTATTTCTGACGAGTACTCCTGCATTCGTGTCACTTGGTGCACTTGATAGCCAGCTTAGCGCAATTTGGGAATCGGAGAATAAAAAAATTTTTTTTCAAATGGATATTTACCGCGTTTTGCTTTAGCGATGTATAAACTGACCAAGTAAGCCTCGCTGCAATAGTTAGCGCATTCATTTCTAGCTTTGGCATTGTTATAGCGGATTGAATTGAGGGAAGTTTGCATTTCGCCATAACCAAAGTTGTGTTTTTGCCTTCGAACAGATATGCGCATGCTGTCATTGCAATTTCGCTGGCATCGGCAAATATTGCTAGTTTGCTACCGTACATATCCGAAAGAAACTTTCTTGGTATTCGTTTTTCAAAACCATTTGCGCTTGTGGTAATAGTGTTCCATTGTTGCGCTAGGTTTTCTGGTAATGTTTGATCCCAGGAATAGCGCTGTTTCCATAGTTGTTGCTGGAAATGTTTTGCTTGAGTAATCAGGGGAATCAGCCACCCGAATGGATCATAAATTGAAGCTATCTGCCTAGCCACAATCCGTTTTGTGACTATTGAACTCGGTAGCATTTTGCATTGTATACTCACAAGGGAACCGTGTCGAGTCGAAGTGGCCTTTCCAGATGGGACCCATACTGCTTTGAAGAGCATTAATCGATGATTCCAAATCTGCTTCCAAATCTGCCAAGCGCCTCTGGACGCCGAGTTATGCTCGTTTTTCAGGTCAAAAAATTGAACGCAAAACTGAAGCAAAATCGCCAAAAGTTGCTCAAATGGTCCAATGTCAAGTATCAGAGCTGTTTATGCATTGGATACATTTTATTTATTATGCTAATACTTAACATTGCTTTATCTGAGACTGGAAAAATTGTAACAATCAATTTTACCTGAAGTCTGCATTCGTTTTTCGTTCCGAAGGTCATAACTCGGCGTCCAGAGGCGCTTGGCAGATTTGGAAGGCAGATTTGGAATCATCGCTTAATACTCTTCAAAGCAGTATGGGTCTCATCTGGAAAGGCCACTTCGACTCGACACGGTTCCCTTGTCAGTTCATCTTTTCCAGCGTTCCAGGTGATTCCCAGAATTTTCTGTTCGGAAGATTTGGGGCATGCTTTAGCTGGGATAGTATCACGTATTGAATTTGTATTTGAAAGAAACTCTCGCAAATTCACACCTATTTGGGAAAAAATTTCACGTGATTTCTCGGCTTTTCTTGCTATCTCGCCTCTTGAATTTGCCCCTAGGATGAGGTTATCGACGTACAAATTTTGGTATATTTCTTTGCCTAACCTCTTGTCAGCTGTGGTTTGTAGGTGATGATTTACCGTAGCAGCCAGCAAGAATGGCGATACATTTGGACCAAAAGGGACTCAGGTGAACCGAAAGATAACCAGATTGTCATCGTTAATTGGCGCTGTTAGATCTTTTACCCAAAAGAATCTTGTTGCATCCCTATCTACCTCATTTAGGCGCACTTGAAGAAAAGCTTTTTCCACATCTGCGGTAAAGACTAATCATTCGCACGAAAGCGCAGGAGCATTGCGTAAATTTCTGGCAGAATTGAAGGTCCTTGTTGCAAAATGTCATTTAGAGATGGACATTCTTTGAAATGTGAGGATGCGTCAAAAACTATGCGCAGTTTAGTAGTTTCTTTTTGTGGCGTTATGACCAGGGTAAAGCGGGGGGTGCGGCACCCGACCGCTGGATACGACCCCCCCTTGGGCCGGACCTCGGCACGACCCCCCCCCCGCCATTCCCTACCCCCCCCCCCTCCCTCCACCCCATAAACCTATTGAAATGTAAGACCGTAAATAGTGCTGTGTGTCGCTAGCTTCATGCGATCTCGGGTTTTTCTCAGAGTTTTCAAGTTGTTGAAGATCGATAAAATGGTGAAACTATTCTTGGTGTATTGTCATTGCTGTAGCATAAGCTTCATACGATTTTATTTTGAAGACACTTTTCCTAGATCTCCTATGTATTGATTTTTATTTATCAAATGCTATCAAGTTCATAACGTGAAATGAAATATAATCACTGCGTATGTTTTTGTAAAACATGGAACAATCAACTCCACCAAGCTTTGATACCCGTGAAGATCAGATGCTTCAAGTTTCAACATTAAGAATGAGCAGCATCTAGCTGCAAGTCTTCAGTGCATACAAAGTAGAAATTCAGATACAAAGGCGGTCAGTATAAATGAAAGCTTATGTAAGGTATCAAACAAGTAGAACATAATTGCCAGGGAAAAGTCCAGTGACTCCATCCAAAACTCCTTCGAACCATCCATCATCGTTTTTTCGAAGTACATACACGATGCAATTTTCCCGTAGTGAAAGCTCATCCGGTTTGTCAGCATCATAATCGTACAGTGCAACAGCTGTAATTTGAAATCGTATTCCAAATCATATGCAGCGACGTATTTCAATAGGGAAATCAATAGTTATTTTCAACACGACGTAATGTGAGACGACCATTGCTGTACATCAAAGATGAGAAGCTAAGTCAAGATTGAATCTGCGATGCATACAACGTAAAAGAGTATGGAAGGCCGACATCTTACAATTTAGTCTAACACTATTAACGCGTCTCCAGCAACAGAAACATGAGGATGAAAGAACAAAACTTTGACTAAACACGAGAATTACGAAGAGATTGCATTACTACTTGATCGATTTCTATAATTCTGCTGGCGACATGCTCATGAGATGGCTAAAATCAGTGCGAGAGAGCAACAAATGTCAGATATGAAATAGTTCGATTTGAAACTCTAAAAAAGCCCTTTTTCGAACTTTTAGCCATAAAATTTAGAAAACCATTGAAGATAAGTATCTCAAGCGATATTTTTCAAAACTTCAGGATAAAAAAGGGAAATAAATATGACCATACTCGAAACATCATTAATAACAAAAATTTACCTTTTTCTATGTAATTTCGGGGAATCCAGTCAGCTTGTGCGTCGAAGAAATTGGCCTGTGAGTGTGGAGGTGGCGGAAGAAGTTCATCTTCATGGGTTGAGTTCAACATTTGCATAGCGGGAGGAGGAAGCTCTGTAAAAACATACAAATATATTGTGTATAAAAAAATCAAAGCAAAGCTAACCTTCCGCTCTTGTCATGCCGATACATCCATAGTTTAAGCTAAGCTGGGGTGGCGGTAACGGTAAACCTGGAGAATCCGGCCTTTCTTCGCTAAGTACGCTTCCCCCATCAACCATAGAGGCGCGTGGAACTTGTGACTGATGTAATCGTAAGGTTCCTAAATCGTGAAAATGGAGTAGGAATCCCAGACAAAAATAAACGACAAACTGACCATATTTGTCCTGCACGCTGATTCTTCCAAAATCGGATGCTGCATCAGAGTCAGCGGCTCGATAGCCTACCTGACTTCTATTCACTGCCAGACTGATGTTGCTATGCGGGGATGTACCTTTGGTGACCGATCAATGGCATAACCTGCAAGCACTCATACAATTTCTATTAGCTTTATACAATGGGTCATTATCCTACCAAGGGAACTCTGTAGTGATCTGAAGGAGTCAGGGATAGGTGACCACTGCGAACCGATGAGCGACCAAGCTAAAGGTTGTGCAATAAAAGCATCCACAGAATAAAGACTTTTAAAAATGTATAAACATGTCATCCAAAGCTCTGAAACGTAGAAAAAACGAAGTACAAATTTAGAGAACAACAAAACATGAAAAAATTGCAGATTTATATCGAGCCGAGCTATGCTACCTTGCTCTTACATTTAGCCCCTTTTCGGAAAACATCAAAGTCAAAACCTGAAACCTACCGTATTGGTTTCGATATTAGCTGTCCGTTCATACTGAGCGTAATGTCCACCATACTGTTGAGAACCGAATACGCTGGAAGCTGCGCGAGAAATCAAGCCTGCTCGACTTTGATATGGAACCTAAACACTTGGATGCTGATAAGGAAAGCATTGAAAGCTCTTTTACATGCCTCGACGCGTACACCATGACCATGCCATCCAGTACACAGAAATCTATAGGAGTACGTTTATATCGTTGGACAGGTTTCTGAAATAAATTAATAGACTAGGACAGGTACAGGCGAGATTAATAGATCATGACGTTATGATGCCATTTCGAAACACTTTTTATTCACAATTAGACGAAACTTCTAGACAACAATAGCTACGAAACATGAGGAACTAGCATAAGGTTTACGATAGAAAACCTGCGAGGAAGTTAACTTCTCTGAAAACATTGCATGTATGCACGAAAATGGAAAAAAATCATAAATCATAAGAGATACCACTGCAATGTCAGTTTAAAAAAAACTGCTTGCGGTAAGCTGCTGATTCACCTGTGTTGCAGGAGCAATGATTTTTGCTTGCTTTTGCAGCGACTTGTTCGTTGTGAGGGCTCCAATTTCACGTAGCGCAAGCTTCTCCTTGTGGATGTTGACAACCTGGAATCTCTAGGAATGGAGAAAGACCGATACAAAAATCACTTTGCCTGCATATGAGTACGTAAAGAGAGGAACAGAATAGGGTCAACTAAACGTCACAGAAAATCAACTTTACACTCCCAATCAAAATGTCTCTGAACTCACCACATCGACAATGTCCACTTGCCCAGTAAGGCTCGAAATCTTATCAGTTTGCAAATCCAGCATGTCCAACAGATCCCTGAAAAATAAAGCATCTATTCAGATACTCCCAAATGAGTTTTGTCGATGATAACGAACCTTGCAAGAGTATTTATCTGATAAGCCGCACTTGCTAGTGATTGCAAAGCAAACTGTTTAGTTTCTTCGAAGGCCGCATTTCGATCCTCAAAAAAAACAGGCAGATTTTTGGGAAACGGACAAGATTACAACATTGGCAACATTCCCCATAGTTACATCAAAAATGGAGTAATGAAAGATTATCGTGATTTCTTCTGTTTGTTTAAATATCAACGTAGAGCAAAACTAGTTCAAAAAGAGGAAATGTAATTGTTCCACACTTTGACAAACTACACTCAGAAGAAACACAATACGAGCAGCTAGAAACCTCAAATAATCAAAGACTAATAGAAGCAAACATGTCAAGCAAAGCAGCAGCTCATAACGAGAGTGGGATTCAAAGGCGCGTATCTCGCGCCTCTGTGTGTTTTGACAATTTTTCGAGCGCTACCGTAACCCAATATTTTTGGCCACATTTCCCAGCATATGTTTCGCAAAAACCATATGTATTTCCTTCTAAAGAAAAAGGTTCGAGGGGAAACAGCTACTACGGAGAGAGGAAGGATGAATCTATAGGATGATATGAAAAAGGCAGCTGTTTGAACGATTTGAAGGTAAGTTAATGGCCTGCGGCACCCCCCCCCCCCTCAAAACCTGCGGCAGCCGCAGGTTTTGAGGGGGGGGGGGGTGCCGCAGGCCATTAACTATATCAAAAAAAAAAACATTTTTAGCGCACAATATTTATATGAATCAATAGCCTAAACCTCATAGATTCCATAGGGATGTTTTGAGCCTGATTCGTCTTCTTAGCTCTGAGTAATATTTGGTGAAATCACAGCGATCAAAAGCTAAAAGCGATTTTGGTTGGCTTCTAATTCAATAGTTTGGAGGTCTTCTGAAGCGGGATTCCTGAGGTGGACAAAGAAGGAGTAGTGCTTTGTATTGAGTGCAAGAAGAGGTAGCTTACTCACCGTTAAGATAAAGTTAATCATGTTTTAAATTACTGCTCGGAGACCTCAGAGTTCGCTGAAACTTGGCGCATAGGGGTTATTCGACACGCGGATTACGACAATTATGCTTGATTAGAGGTACGGCAGGTTACGGTAGGCATACGGTATCTGCAAGTTTGTGTCGTTGAACTTGAATTTTGCAGGATTTCAACAGCGTGGCACATCTAAGAACTTAGCTGCAGTCATTTCCCCTTAGAAACCGCTTTTAATCTTGGGTCGATACGACCCCCCCTACCTACCCTCCCCCCCTTACGACCCCCCCCCCCCTTGCGGCGTGCCGCACCCCCCGCTTTACCCTGGTTATGACTGCTTGGTGAGGAATATAGTGTAATATTTCGCCTTCGGGGGGTTTGTTGTTTGGTACCTCTTCAATGACCCCTTTTTCAAGTTGGCCTTTGAAGGTTTGATCATAATTTTCCAACAACTGTGGAGTTGCTTTGAGTGTTGCAAGAGAACTTTGCAGTCTTTTTAGCGCTATTGCTTTGTTGCTTGGTAGAGGTGGGTGACCGTCTTTGAATGGAAGTCGCACAAAATAACCATCGATTCTTTTTTCAATGGTATTTTCAAAAAATTGCAGTACCTTTTCATTTGTTGCATCCTTTTCTGCATTTTTGGTACCTGTGAATTCGTGTATGCCTGCGAAATCAATCATCCAATATTTGTCCCATCTGCACATTTCTTCTTCGAAATTCATGAAAATATTCGCCTCTTCTGAGCCGGGATAAGTTTTTAGAGCCTTCTGGCTATCTTTCCCTATCAGTTCCTGCTTCCCCGTAAGCAGATATCCCAACCTTGATGGGATTAGTTTGAGTCCTGAAGGCAAAGTATACTGTGGGTGTGTGATATCCAGAAAACCCCATAGTTGGTCACAACCCAACAGTATTTGTGGTTTCACCTCATCCGACTGGACTGTCTTGGACAGCCTTATCCCTTGTTGCGCAATGAATTCCACATCTTTGGCGGACAGTGTAATGGGTTTGCCTTTGCCCATTATGATGGGTCTATGCACACTCTAATGTTATGTTTTCTTCCATGATGATCTTGAAGATCTATCGATGTTGTCTCATATGTTACGGTGTTGCTTTCGTGGCGCCAAAGGTGTACATCATGAATTCTCGAGTCTCTTGGCGTTCAAGCCCTAACTCGTGCGCTAATGTTGCATTTATGAAAGATTGATCCGCGCCAGTGTCTAGTAAAACTTCCACCTCTTTCCATTCATTTTTAATTACTTGGCGTACCTTAGCTATTCCCGTAAGCAATAGCACTTGATGGCCTACTTTCTTCTGTTCGGTCGCTTTGCATTGAAGTATCGTTGTTTTTTCTTCTTTCTCACCCTCTTGGGGAGGGGCCGTATTTTCTGTGTTTATATGGGACACGTGTGCTTTGATCGTTTTTTCTGTAGGCTTTCTCAATTTCTCTTTGTTCCTGTTCTGGCTTCCATGTGAAGCAGTTATCTGGTTGCCCTTACTCGTTGAGGACATAAGGTGTAATGATGTTTCCTTCCCTCGCAAAATCTACACCCCTCTCTTTTGCAATCCTTCGCAAAGTGTCCCTCTCTAGCGCAGTTGAGACACCTTTTGTTTTGTTGAAGGAATTTGCGTCGCGCTGCTACCGTTGCGCATTTTGTGCAGTCTGATGCCCTATGTTGTTCTGAGCCGCAAAATATGCAAGATATTTTACGCGCTTGGTTGAAGTTTAATCGTACCGAGGAGGGAATCGATTTGTTTTGATGTGACTCATCATCTCTTTGAAGCATGTCCTTGATATATTCTTCAGTTGAAATTACTTCATCTAGAGTATCTACAATTTCTCTCATTTTCCATTCGTGTTCATTCGTTCTTTCTCGATATCTATTTTCGAGGACTTTTCTTTGAATACGAGTGTTAAACTTTGACAGCACTTTATGCGCCGGAAATGAACCATCTAGACCCACTTTCTTTGCTTCAAGTTGCGTTACAATGGGAATGATTTGTTCAAGTAAATTACGTTGCGCACCGATCGATTGATTCTGAGCTCTAACATTTTCCAATCTTGATTGCAAGCGCGCTGAGTTGTGATTCATCGCCGTATTTTCTTTTCAACATTTCTACCGCGGGATCATAGTTATCTTCTGCTATTGGAAACCGTTTGATAGCATCTAAGGCTTCACCTTTTAGCGCATTTATTAAATAATTAAATTTTTGTAATTTAGAGAGCCTGGTTATGTATATTTGCTTCAAAAAGAGTCCGAAATTTGTGAATTCCCAATATCTACCAGAAAATGTAGGTATAGGGATTGCTGGTAGTTTTGTTTGTCTACATTTAATATATGCGCTGAAGTAGATGCTCCGCTTTCATTGGTTTGGAACGCAGGATTGATTGTAATTGCTTCTAACTGGATTGCTAACATTTGGGCGCGATCTATAGCTACATGAGCAGTTTCTATGTAATCCTGAGTTATTTCTTCTTGCTCTTTAGGAAGAGAGTCAATGTTGCTGTCTACTAAATGCGCAAAATTGGATAAATTGTCTATCACTATCTTGGTAGTTGCTTTTAATTCGTAAATTAGACGGCGCGCTTTTTGTATCATATAGTATTGCAAAAGCGCCGATTGCTCTAGCGCTGCGATTTGTTCACTGTCTTGAATCAATCTATTAAGGTTGTTGCAATACCTAGTTAGTAACGCTTTTTGAGATTTTATAGAAATTGGTCCCGCCATTTTGATTTTGCAATCAATACTTTTGAGCGTACAGATCAAGCGAATTAAAATTTCTTGAGTTTTTTTTTCGCAATTCACGGTTTATCGAAAAATTAGATTGCGCTAGTTTGGATGAATTCACTGTTGAGTCGTACCTATGCAGTCCTTCGGTTCCTTTGTTGTGTGGTCCGATGCACCATATGTTCGCTGCCACGCGGTAATGACCAACCAAACGTCAGTAGGACCAACAACACAATCGGGCGCAGAGTTTATTCCTCAAACTTGGGTAATTAAACCGAAAGTCTGATACATCAAAACAATAATGCGCAAAAATAAGAAATAAACCATTTTTATTGTACGAATGTGAATAGGCGCAATTATTGATAAATGTTTTTGGCGCGATGAAAGTGAATATTCGAAAAATTGCAAAAACTCTTTTTTCTCTGGCGCAAAAATAGAAAAGTGCGTGCGCGGTGGATAATCACAGTCAGCCTTTTTGCCTCAAAAAAATGTTGAAACGAGTTATAATTCAAATAAAGTGAGAACAAAGACATCAACGTGATTGAAAAGGAAAAAATGAAAGTATTCTGCCCCTGCGCGCTCGACCGCGGCTTCTTATATCCGATGTGTTGCACGATAACCATATATTTTGAGAAGTTGAAGCTGCAAATAAATATCTGTCATGAGGTAACGTTCTCCGCGTTGCCGCGGCGTTACAGTAACCATAGAAAACGTAACAACCTCGAGGGATCGCAGCGTTGCAGCGATACGCAGTTCGACATCCAGTGTCACCTCATGCCACGTTGATGCGGCCGACCATTGTGGGCGCAGACACATTTTAGTATCCAAAAATGTGCTTGGTGGATTTTTTTCTGAGCTCAAAATCGAGAAATTAAAATGGCTTGAAAATGCAAAATCTTACTTTTTCGGTTTTTCAAGGTCAAACTTGGTATTTCTCGACCACCAAAGCGCTTACAAAGGTAAAGTTCTAAGGTTATGTTTTTCAAGGCCCTCAGTACAGCGACGTATGCGAAAGGCGGGGCGCGGAGTTGGCCATTTTGAGACTTCTCCTTTTTTCGCTTTATAATCCCGAAAATAACTCACTAAAAGCATATTTGGGTATTACTATGTGTCTGCTGTATAATAGCCAAGTTTGAAGTTTTGTAAGAGTTCCTCTATTAATACAGATGTTTACAGAAGGCAGCGCAGATGGCGCTGATAACGCGCCGAGCCGCGTACAAGAGGATGCCGCGGAGAGGAAGAAGAGAGAGATCTCGGAACCCCCAGCTGCAGAGCGGCACGCTCACCTACAGATCGTCTGGCTCCAACCTCTGCTGTTTACTGTTTACCGTCATGTATTATGTCTAGTAAACCATGTATTACCACTGTGTATCGCCTACTAGCAAAGAGAAATATCTTTCGGGCCCGGATCTTACTGGTAGCAGCGAGTGCAAACAGCAAGTTGGATGTAAGGTGAGTAATTTTTTTGGTTTTAACTAACCTTCGCTGGGCAACGAACGATCTTTGAAAATGTTCCATGCTCAATTTTCTCCATTTTACGTTATCAGTATCAAAAGCCAGATTCGTGTAGTTTTTTTTCTTTTTTCTCAGCATGGACGAAAAAGTGCATGTAGAACTAGGATCATTTCATACATCTATCTCTAACCATCTTCTTAATAGTGATTTCTATTGCTATTCTTAATTTCGCTATCTATGATTTCCTTTGACCTTTCTTTTGGCGCCTTTCTATCTTGTTTTGGGAAAATGTCTCGCGAGTGATTAAATGATGAGTGCATAAGTATTTTGGATCGGAGCATTGAAGTTTCGTGTCGAGTTTTGAATTGAAGTATCGCGCGTGTCTCATGAGTAGTGGCCCGACAAGGCGTTAAACTGTTGGAATGGTGATCGATCAAGTGTTGAGAAATGTGAAAGAACGCTAGTGAGTAAGCTGCAGCTATGGAGATTTCCTGAAGTTGAAGTAGTGGTTGTAATGCGTTGCTCCGAGTCACCGGTGATAGAGTTTTGAGCGTTCTTGTATAGAATTAGCTAGATTTAGTGCATTGTGACTATGCATTTACAGATCTTTTCATCTATTACGCTTAGGTTATGTAACATTATGTTTCGTCATGCAACGTCCGCGCATAAGGCGCCGCGAGAACTACAACGAGCGCCGCGGACAAATGTTTATGTCGGCGATGTGATCGCATTCCCAGATACAGAGCGCGGAAAGCTTGTGAGTTATAAACATAGGGAAAATTATGTTTTTTTCTCATGAGATAGACAGAAGATAAGGGTCGGAGAAAATGGTTCTCAGGGATATGTTTACATATTTTTTTCCTTATCTGATAACGGACCCGTATATATACATGGCAGTGTTAGAAGAAGACATTTCACATATTCTTCGTTTTCCATCGTACTTTTCTTGCGTTCTTTCCTCGAATGGCACCTCCGATAACTCGCTCTCGTGCCCATTCGGTTGATACAGGGGTCGTAGTTACCCAAACACAGAGCTTAGAACCTACTACTGGTCCCGTAGAGGACACTGATACAGATACAGCAACCCCGGATAAAATGATGGCCACTCTTAGAGCTACACTAGGCGATGTGGGGGATTCAGATGTGGTGCATGGTAGAGATGCCAAAGCTCTTAGGGATGCAACATCCGACGTCGTTACTAATATGTGGTACGATACCCACTATAACACCTCGCAGCTAGTACAGCGCTTTAATAACAATAGTGCGGCGCTTCTCAAGGGGATTACGGACAAGGTTGACGCTATTGACACTCGTATAAGCACCTTGCCCCAAGTAGCGGTCTGCAACCCGGAGGGACACCACATTTACTTGTCGGCATATACGGGATGTGGGGATACGTTGCAGTTCAACACATGGCTCCGCCGTTTTGAAGATATTATGCGGACCCGTCAAGGGGTGTTGTCCTCAGAACACAAAGCTAATATCCTAATAACGTACTTAGACGGTATGGCACGTGAAAAAGTCGAGGAACTTTCGCACATTGAGCGCCAGGACTACGATAAAATAGTCGCGCATTTAGCTAAGTACTTTGACACCCCGCAACAGCGTTATATGGCGCGACAGACTTTGTTAGCGTGTCATCAAGAAATGGGGGAGTCGGTAGTAGCTTTCGCCAATAGGCTCGTGAATCTAGTGCGTGAGGCTACGGCGGGACAAGGGCAGGTAGTGCAGCAAGAGCGCACTTTGGAAGAGTTTGTAGAGCGACTGCGCCCTGATATCCGGCGACAGGTCCAGCTAGAGGGGCCAGAGACGTTCCAACGTGCACTAGATAAGGCGCGAACAGTAGAACGGCTACTCGCGGAAGCACCCACGCAGTCAAACGGTTTATACGGGGGCTTAGTTGGACCCGGCATACACGCAATGTCACCGGGCCGCAGAGTGACTTTTGCCGACTCCGAAAGCAGATCTTATTTTGATAATATTACAGAGTCTCGACGAGGGCAACAACCTCGTATGCGTTCACCAAGACGACGAGTGGAGCGCGGATACAACCGTCCACCTACCCCGACATCGGCGGTGGTGTGCTTCAACTGCAACGGAGTAGGACACGTAGCCAAGCAGTGTCCGTCGCCCCAGCGACGAGGTGGAGGTAGGCGTTTTGACAATAAACGTAACTTCACTAATCGCTCGTACAACTCATATTCTCATCCATCTTCTCCTTCACGATCATCTAACAGGTATGAAGGGCAATTTTTGAACGACACTCAACAAAAGGTTAACGCCCTATCCTTGTCTCTCAAGCAAAGTCAAGAGGCTCTTGAGCAGTCTAATGCACGCGTAGAAGCATTGTTGCAACGCAATCAGGAATTATCTGGCTCTGTATTTTCTCATCACAAGGATCCTCTTCCACAAATCAATTCCTTTTTCCCAAATATGCATTATTTCATTTCTCTGTTTGCACTCTGTTCTTTCGTGGTTACCGCTCAAGCACAAGAAGTCTGGCTTTGCCCTCACCAACCTACCGATCACATGCTGCAATTACCAGCTAATCTAAATTGTTCGCGCATTGTGCCAAATATAACCGCCCATCCTAAAGCACTCACACTGCGTGTCTTTCGTCCCAATACACAGCGATACAGCACTCCAGCTCACTTATGTAAAATAGTAGCGCGTACAGTGTCATTCTCGGTGAACTTTTTTGGCGCACGCTGGCAGACGCAGCATGAGACTACAAAGACAGTTACAGCGGAGCACTGTAGACTTATGCGGGAGCATCACACATGCGATTTCGGCTCCATGCAATTCTCGAACGGGATATACGCTACTGCAAATACGCTTAAAATTGAGTGGCCCTCAGCCCCATTTGGTTGTTGCACAGTCCACACCATAACGAGCACCAATTGCTACCTCTTGCCTACAACAATCCACGCGCGGCATGACTCCCCCGCCCCAGAAGCGGCCATCGGTGACGTCCACCACTGCAAATATCCCGAAGGGCAATGCACTTTGAGTGACGGATCGGTTATGTTGTGGAATCCTAATAAGGAAGAGGCCTGCCAGTACATCCTCATTGGCACCATTGCCGGACACGTCATGGGGCATTTTTGGCTAAGTCAGTCAAAAGAAATGGCGCTATCGTGGGGCGAAGACTCCAAATCAGTCTGGGACTGCGGGGCCCAGCTGACAGTAACAGATCAGGGTTATGCATTCACAGATAAACACAAGACCCGACTCGCACGTTCACCGCAGGCAGGGATTGTGACTTCTAACCAACTGGCAGCGCAATTATTAGCGGTCGAAGATGTAGGGAGGGAAGCCGCGGGAATACTCTTCCAGCACACTTTATCGGCGTTCTGTAACCAGGTTAACTTCCTCATGATAACGGTTCGAGCTAGTCTACCGCATTCTCCTACATTAGTCGTCCGCAAACTACTCAGTCGCTCGGATATCGCAGCTACATATATGGGCGGAAATATAGTTCAAGTGCACCGATGTATGAGGGTTCCCCCCGCTAGTTATCAACTGCAACCCTTCAACGACTCATGCTATGATAAGCCCAAGATAGCAATACGCCTACCAAGCGCAAAACTGGTCGGGTTTTTAGAGCCAGGTACCGGGGTTATCACCCGAGAGGCTACCATAATACCATGTCCCAAATCAACCCCATTTCTTTTTGTTAATGCCACAGGAACGTTCGCTTTCGATACATTACAGGGCACCATCCATCTAGTCGCAGACGAGTCTATCGACACTATATCATGGCCACCCAACATCTCACGATGGGACTCGCTGCCGCCCCTTACCATTTTCCATAACTTGATTCTTACAAACTTAAGCGAGATAGTGGCAGATGGGCAACTCACCGAACTTTGGCAAGCTGTATCACATGATCAACTGATCTCATCTAGAGGGTCGTGGACCCAAACTCAGATAGCCAGAGATAAGCCCGAAGAGAGTACGGGCCGTATTTTCAGTCTTCTTTTTCCAACACTCAATTGGTTTGATATATGGGTCGCCGTATGCTGCTTCATCGTATCCTGCGGTCTAGTGAAGCGGGTAATAGCCTTGTACGTGCAGCTTAATTTCCCCATACTAGCACGTTTTTCGACTGCGCCTGACACCAATCAGGCCACATTGGAGGATGCAATTCCGCCGCCTAACCCAGCGCCGAACTTTCCAAATCCAGAGTTTAGAAATAAAACGCCCCAGGCACGTGGCAGACGTCATCTCGATCTAGCATGCGTCGAAATAGACGCCGATCAGGCTTGGCCACCAAAGATCACTTTAACCCCTATTAACGTGTTGGCTGTAACACCCCATGTAGCCACGTTTTTCGTAGCACAGATCCCCATAACGGTGAACGACGTTTGCATGCTGGCATTGATAGACACAGGGGCAGCAATAACCATCATCAATAGGGAAATGGCACCGCTTCTCGGAGTATTTTCTTTCCAATCCGCGCCTATTCCTTGCGCACTTGGTATGGCTGGCGTGCCAGTCAAACTCTTGGGATGCCAGCTACTTCACCTTAAAATCGGATCCTTCACCGTTCGTCACCTCACCTACTTTGCTGAAGATGCAGCTATTTCTAAACTCGTCGGGTCCTATAACATTATCCTAGGAAATGATATCTTGAGTATCCTTCCCAACTGGCATATTGATTATCACAATCGCACTTTCCATTGCGGCGAATCAAAGGTCCAAATAGTCACCGGTCCGGACTGTAGTACGAAGATAGGGGGCAACATTTCCACAGTCCGAGTGGCACAAACAACGGTACTACCCCCCTCCACCGAAACCTTGGTGCCCTGTTCGGTTCCCAACGCAGACGAGGTAACTTTCATGCTCACCGACCAAAATTCCACTCTCATCTCAAAAGATCTTTTTGTATCCCCAGCGGTGTTCTCAACATCAGCATGCTGCATTCTCATAGCAAACCCCACAAAAGTGCCTCAAATCGTATACAAAAATCAGGCAGTTGCATACGCCATCCCGGTTGAGGAGATTGAAGAGCCCTCATCATTAACAACTACAGACCACCACCTCGCCCCACCGTGCTTTTAGCACACCACCTAAAATTAGCGGAGTACAAGTCGCTCTGCAGAACCAGCGTCAGGATGAAGCACGTCTCCATGTCGACTTATCTGACGTTGCCGTCGAAGATGCGGAAAAACAGATGTTATTAGACCTTTTTGAAGAATATAGTGATCGCTTTTCTTTTTCCTCATATGACTTAGGATCTTATCAAGCCTCCCAAATCCATATACAAACGACTACTGAAGTACCACCCTCTAAATTTCGACCGACCCGCATACCAGTAAAGTTTCAGAAAGAATTAGATTTACACATCCAAAAGCTTCTTAAGGCAGGCAGGATCACGGAAAGTGACACGCCCTGGGTTCATAACACCGTGCTGGTGAAGAAACGGGACGGATCTTTAAGGGTGTGTTTGGATTTTCGACCACTAAATGAGGTAACCGTACCAGATCACTACCCTTTGCCACGTATCGAAGATCTCCTCACCAGAATTGCGGGAAATAGGTACTACACAACCTTAGACCTGGCCTCGGGTTATATGCAGCTGTTGCTTTCCCCCGAAAGCCAATATAAGTGCGGGTGGGCGACCCATCGCGGCATTTACCAATTCGTCTATCTTCCTTTCGGGTTGCGCAATGCGGGTGCTTACTTTTGCCGAGCAATGTCCAAGATTTTGGCAGGTCTAGAGGATACCTGTCTAGCGTATATCGATGACGTAGTCATCTTCAATACAGACTTCCCGAGTCATCTCACATCCTTGCGCAAAGTCTTCGAGCGCTTCCGCGCGTTTGACATAAAAATATCAGCTAAAAAGTTTACCGAGATCGCGCGATCTTCCATTACTTTTCTCGGCCATGAAATCACGAAGGGTACATATTCACCGGGAGCAAGAAATATCAAGGCAATTACCGAGTGCCCTGAGCCCAAAACAGCAAAAGAAGTGAAACGATTTTTAGGAATGGCCAACTTTTTCCGCAAGTTTATACCACACTTCGCGCTTACAGCAAACCCGCTGTACGAATTGACCAAAGAAAAAGTGCCATTTAGCTGGACACAACAACACCAGGAAGCATTCCAAAGCCTCAAAACCAGCCTTACCACGAAACCTTGTTTGGCGTTTCCCCAAGATAAAGACTTCATCCTACATACCGATGGAAGCCAAGTAGCAATAGGCGCAGTACTGATGCAACAACAAACAGATAGCGATAAAGACATAGCAGTGATAGGCTATTACAGCAAAACCCTTTCAGAAACCCAGAGAACTACCTGGTCAACCATCATCCATGGGCACGCCACGTACGCCCCCGCCAGATTCGCCGCGATGAAATCGCAGAGCAACAGATATCCAACGATTTACCAGTGGACGTGTATCGCCATGTACCACACTTGGGCTATGCCGCAATTCGATTCGTCCACTCCCTGTTCCCGCGGACACCACCTAATCTGAAAACGGTGCGAGCACCCTTGGCCTTCATCGAATTCTCCAACCTCGAAGATGCTGTCATATTCCGAGACAAGGCTCAAAGAGTACTAGAAGCTACCTTACGAGGAGATGGCGAGCTGGTACAACAAGAAAGGACGATGGCACCCAAAGATGTTCGTTCGTCGATCCTCTTACCGCCCAAACTCAAAGGAAGTTATCCAGTATTGTACCAGATAGCAGCCATAGGATCTAACAGCCTGGTAATCGAAGCTAAAGATTTCTTTGTCTTCATGCCGGATAGACTCGAACTTCATTGTATCCTGCTCGACCGATTTTCCCTGAATATCGAAAATAATACTTACGGTTACGACAGGCATTTGATATCCGTCAAGGATTTTGTGTGGGTCTATGAAGTCGCACCAACCATCGCAGCCGTACGGTCGCCGGCGCGTTGTCTCCAGCTGGCCAGGATACCTCGGACAGCAGCACTCGAAACGAATACCCAGTTTTTCTTCCGGGCCGCAGTGTTTGCTTTTGTGACACCAGCCGTCTGGACCCAGCCTCACTTAGGTGTTGTGCTCAAGTTGACCCGCAGAGGCGAGACCGTTAACAACTTCAAGATGGCGCTAGAAGGAGTCCCAGAGGCTGTGACCATCACTAAATCTATCTGTGAGTTCGAATGGCCGGATGTTCAGGAGGATGAAATCCTAATAGCACAGAGCCGGAAGAACGTTTCCTGCGCAGTCAGATTCTCCGAGCCACCCGCATCGAAAACCGCACGGGACTGGCTCCGTCGTCAAGTCGAGCACTTCTGCCCAGCCCACCCCGATGAAGGCATGGTTCCCATGAAGGTTAGGAAGGCACGTCAAGAAGATATCGACTGGTTCTTCGACCGAACCGGGGAATTCAACAACTTTGTCAACAACCACCCTCAAGCACTCCGCAGGATGAGTAAAGTTTTCAGTATGGCGTGCGCTGCACTAGTAGCACTTCAGAACCTGGACGATGACAACAGAACACACAGAGTCACCGCTACGGTTCCGTCGGTATCGTCACATCCGCTCCAACTGCAGCTCACACTGCAAGAGATGTCATCAATGGAGGGATGGACGAAACATCGTCCCGTGGGAGTGTGGATCATGGACGTCTGGTGGTTCACCAAACTTGAGGTAGATGAAGCTGAGTTCCAAGAAGAAACCAGAGAGCTTCGAGTGACCCTTGCCACTTACTCACAGATGGAGCAGGTGCTGAGGAACGCCATCAGAGACGTCGGCCGCAGAGTGGGAAACACCGCATTTTTGGATCTCTTCGTCAAGCTAGGCCGAATTCCGGCAAACGCCAACCCGGCGTTCGAGTCAGTCTCCAGAATGGAGATATTCAAGGACTTGGAGGAAGGCGGAGCCGACGTTAGCGTAGTTGACATCGCATACGGAGCACAGGAACTAGGATGTAAAACGGCCAAAGAAGCGGAAGGAGATGAAGACGAACCACTCATCGACTCGATAACTCTGCACGGCCGCCGATTGGAGCTAACGCGCGATCAGCAGGAAGCACTGGCACTGGGAAACAGCAAATATCCACTAATAGCAATTCAGGCTGCGTTTGGAACAGGCAAAACGGTTGTTGGCGCCTGCGTGGCCATACGCCAAGCTCTCGCTGGACAACGGGTCATCATCACCGCCTCCACCAATACCGCCGTAGCCCAGTTTGCGAACACCATCCTCGAATTCGGGGAGGCGCAGCAGGTTGGGGTGACTCGCTTCGTAGCAGAAGCCATCGCTTTCGACACGGACGCGCCGACAACCGCCGTGGACCTTCCTGAAATCTTGAAGATGATCGGAACGGTGTTCCAAAGACAGCTCACGAGGAGGGAGAAGGAGACGTGCCGGACCTTCACGCAGGGACGATTACGATACGAAAGGTACAAGAGGGAGCGACGCATCGACCTGACGGATCAAGAAAGGGAAGACTTCATGCTGGCGGAAAGGGACGTCTCGCGAAATTTACAAGACATGGTGGATATCATGTTCCGTCGTATGGACCCCAAGATTGTCTGTATCACAACAGCATCGTTGCTCAATACTACGGACACGGACGGTCTGTTCAAGGGTTACCTCGACAAGTTCGATCTCATCATATGCGACGAAGCATCGCAAGTTCCAGAACCGGTGTTTATGGCAATGGCGGCGCGAATCCCGCGGGCCCGGCACATATACATTGGTGACATCCATCAGTTAGAGCCGTATGCTCGCTCTTCGAGACTGTCCAACCCCGCCAGACTCGGCGCACAGAGTATCATGAACGTCCTCCAAAGAGCGCGAGCCGTTCCGATGCGCAGCCTCATCACCACCTTTCGAGCGCACCCGGCGCTCATCGACCTCCCCAATACTCTGTGCTATGAAGGCTCGTTGGTAAGCGGTGTGACCGCAGCAGACAAACACCAGTTATTGGACATCATGGATTTCCCGAACCCTCACTTACCGTTCATGTTCGTGGACGTCAACGGAACGTCGGTGCAGTCAGCCTCCCACTCGCATTATAACGAAAGGGAGAAGATGGTATGCGAGTTTTTGGTTACCACGCTCGTCAGGAAAGGAGTGGCACCGAGTGACATCGTCGTCATTACTTTCTACAAGGACCAATACAGGCGCCTGGAGGAATTCGTCACGAGAGTCGGCGTAAACCTCTCCACTGTGGACACCGTCCAGGGAAGGGAAAAGAACGTCGTGATCGTCTTGACAACGAAGACGCACTTTAATCCGGAGGGAGCGGAATTTCTGGGGGATCCCCGACGGATGAACGTCGCCCTCACCCGATGCAGACATGGGCAATTCCTGTTAGGCCATCAGGAATCCCTTGAGAAGGTGCCATTTTGGAGGATGGCCCTGGAATGGGCGCGAAACCAAAATGCAATCGTTCCGTCGACGAGCCTGGGCCGTTACCTGAGGGAGTAAACACAGAGGGTAAGCAGTTGAGTTGTTAGTAGGCAGACATCTTGAAAGTCCCTTCAGGACTTTAGGGTAAATTGGGGAGGTGTAAGAGTTCCTCTATTAATACAGATGTTTACAGAAGGCAGCGCAGATGGCGCTGATAACGCGCCGAGCCGCGTACAAGAGGATGCCGCGGAGAGGAAGAAGAGAGAGATCTCGGAACCCCCAGCTGCAGAGCGGCACGCTCACCTACAGATCGTCTGGCTCCAACCTCTGCTGTTTACTGTTTACCGTCATGTATTATGTCTAGTAAACCATGTATTACCACTGTGTATCGCCTACTAGCAAAGAGAAATATCTTTCGGGCCCGGATCTTACTGTTTGATAGGATTAAGATTTTCTTCTCGAGAATCCAATCTTCATATAATTTTTTTTCAATTTTTGCACTAAACTTTACCTGGATTACTATTTAGGCGGATCTTTGGGTACTGATTATTTTGTAGAGCTTGCTTCGTCCTATCGAATGGTACCCTAAGAAAAAAAAATGGTACGCCTAGGAAAAACGAAAACGGGTTGATTCATTTAAAAATACGATTTACCTTTGGGAAATAAAAATGTTTGCAGTTTCGATCTTCTCCTGTTAAGATGGTGTAGAGAAGGTGGTCCTTACTTCATTTTTCTGCAGTTTGTTATATTGTTCAATCGTCATAACAGCCCTGAGCTCAGAACTTTGCAGTCAAGTTTTGAACCGGCTAGCGGACATGGTTCTAGGTGAGCAACGCAGTGAAAGCCTCTCCGTAGTTGTCAGAAAGTGCTCCTGCCTGCCTCTATAGTCCGTCCGTATCTTTCGCATTTCATCGCGCGACCACCAGTGCTTTGTTTTGTTCAAATCACATACGAGATAAACTGCAATATTTGTAAATGTAAAGGTCATTAAGGGGAATCATGTAATCGACGCGTTGAGCACATTTCGCAAGAAGCTTTGATTTTTAGCGAAATTTTTAGCTGCAGGAAATTTGACGTGCAGTCATTTGTGCGATGGCGAATCAATGGCATCAGCAAGCCTCATATTACTGCCTGGTACAACTCAACCTGCATAACCCCTTCCAAAGAAAGGTGCCATAATTTTTTTTGCATACCCAACAGCAACATTCCTATATGACGCTTACAAATGACATGCAAAGAATCATATAAGACATCGGTTGCATCGCGGATTATCCATGGAAAGGCGTGAAAATATGTAAAAAAAAGTACAGGCTATTAGTGTGAGTTTATTGTGCAAGTTTCTACGCCTTCACAAAGAAAATGAAAGTTTCTCTATGAAAGCTGTACGTTGCAGAGCCGAGTAACGCCACATTCCATTTATTATTCACTTATGAAAGGTAAGTTTTGTTTGTGCTATTAAAGACGGCGCCACAATGGAATGCTTTACGTAAAAGATTCGTTGCAATATGTTTGCAAATATCCCGCTGATAAAGACAAGCCTTGACAACCAACAAAAGGTAGATAATGGGCTTGTAAAAAAGTGGACATATTCTTCTAATGAAATCACGTAATCGCTAATTTTTAGTGTGAGATTTCGAGACTTTTTCATGCTCTTCAATTCAAATTGTTTTTGTTGAGGCTTAAAAATATCAAGCAAATCCATCAAGGTCAAATTCAATCACATTCATTCATTCAATTCACGGGTAGATCTGCCATTTTTTATCTTTATGATTCAAAGTAGACTTCGTTTCTAAAATATCAAATTATGATTGTGCTATTCTTTGATGAATGCCTTTGTTTAAACCAAAATTATGATTTGTGCTACTTTTGACGAATGCACCCTCCGATTTTGTGTTTCTAGCTTGACAAGTCATGGAAAAAGAGGAGAATTTCAAACATTCACAATCTCAACAACACAAGCACACCTGCTTCATTGTTCTTCTTTTTTTGCGGAACTATACAGCAAACATTGTTAGTGCATTTGCATTACATTTATTTTGGAATGGCATATATCAGGCTGTCCCATAAGTTCGTTTTGACTTTCGATGGCAATAAGTCATGAACTTCTTGGCTCTAGACAGGTTTCAAGGTATCATTCGATAGAACAAAGTAAGCTCTACAAGATGACTTTCTTTCGCGCCGGTTCAAATCCATCTCGATTTGGATGATAAAAACCAAAAAGATCCAACCGCCCTAAAATAAAGAAAAAATCGTAACTCCTTCCAAAAAAAATTCTAGAAAATTCCTAACTTGCTCAAAAATACGCAATCAACATCAGCCATTATCTAGATAGCTATTATATTGGGTTGTTTCAAAAGTTCTACCCGTTTTTGAACTTTGACTTTGATTCACTGTAACTCTTCTCAGGAATAATCTTAGCAATTGCTATAAACTGTATTACAATCTGCAAATCTTCGGCTATTCTGCGCACTCTTTGAGATTATTGCACTTATAGTGGAGAAGATTTTGTAGGCGAAAATCGAGGAACATCTCCTTGTAGAAACCTTCACTTTGCAAAAGCATAACTTGATTTGGAATATAGCTGAGTTGCACAAGCACTGCTCACAGTGTAGTCCATAGTCGACTGAGCAGTACCGCTAACTTTGGATTTCATCAAACTCCTTCATAAAAATTTTGTGCTGAAATATCCGAAAGGACCCACTTATTTTGCTCTTTCTGAGTCGGCAAAAAATGCAATTTTTTGACATTTTTGATTTTGTTCGCCGTTGACAAACCTGAAAATCTTTTCATTCTTCTAGTAGCAGTTGTTTTAGCTCTAATCTTACTCTATATAGTAAAAGTTCCGCGATTGCAATATGTTTATGAATTTTATGCGACTTGAAGGGTCCATAGAGACAGATTATGTTTGAGCTAAAAATTTGTAGGTTCAAAATTTTTCTGAAATTATATGCCGATGAGCGTTTCGTAGCACAAGTCCCCAGCAAACATTATGTATGTTTTAAAAGAAATTTATTTTTTGGTTGTAGATTTCACGGCAATAGAGCAAAGACGAAAATTTTCATATTTGTTTCGCTTCTTTTCAGAGTACGCAACCACACAGCGAACAAAGATCTATGAAAACGAATATATGCATGAAAAACTAGAAGAAAGGAGCTTTTGAATGATATAAGCGCTATTTATGAAAAATGGTTTCTTCCTCCAAAATCGGCAGTTTAAAAAAAGGTATCGAAAACGGGTAGAACTTTTGAAACAACCCAATATATAGTGTCAGCTCCATCAGCTATTATATATAGTGTTCCTGTATTTCTTTCTGATTAGAAATCGAGAAAACGAAAATTTTCATGTTCTTGCCAAAGTGATGCTGTGCTGTCCTCACATTGGTATTTGTGTACTGTAGACTAGTGCAAGTATAGACACAAATTTTCAGCGCTCTACAGGCTTTAGTTCTCGAGAAACACTGAATTTAGCTTCGCACAGTCAGGTGTCCCATATTCAAACGATTATTTCTCGAAAACTAAAGCCTGTAAAACGCTGAAAATTCATATCTGTACTTGTACTGGTCTGTAGTATACAACTACTAGAGTGAGAACAGCACAGCATCACTTTGGCAAGAACATGAGAATTTTCGTTTTCTCGACTTTTATTCAAGGAAATAATGCAGGAACAGTGTATGTAATTGGCTGATGTGGATAGCGTATTTGTGAGCAAGTTAGGAATTTTCTAGGATATTTTGGAAGGAGTTACGATTTCTTCTTTGTTTTTCGGGCGGTAAGATCTTTTTGGTTTTTGGCTTCAAACTCGAGAAGGATCTGAACTGGTGCGATACTAACAAGAAGAAGCTGTAAGAAGTTGTAAGAAGCTCATCTTGTAGAGCTTGCTTTGTTCTATCGAATGGTACCTTGAATCCTGTCTAGAGCCAAGAAGTTCATGACTAATTGCGATTGGAAATTAAAACGGGCGGAACTTATGGGACAACTGATAGCTAGAGGTTTAGCCAAAAGGATTCGAATAAATCAAGATTCTATGACATCAGCTCCTGATTTCAAAGAAAAGTGCTCTTTTGAGGAAAGGCGTCTTAATAAAGATATAACCTCTTTTGACATTAAAAATGCTCCTTCGAGTTTGAAAAGCTTCTTTTTCATACAAATTTTCAACAAAAACCTATCATACGGACAGATTTCCAAGGTAAAGTCCAGGTAGACCACAATGATTGCTTATGTTTGGCTGTATGTATGTGTCTGTACGAATGTTCCAAGTAGAAGATTCCTTTTGAGAAGAAGATCTGGACAAACTCTGCACACTTACTTCGAGGGGCGCCGGGTGTCGTAGGCTACTTTTCGTTATCGACTGATATCGATCTATTAAATTTTTGAGATGGCGCGAAGCTGCTGAAGAGGGATATTTGGCATGTTAGTTACGAAAATGTTAAAGTGGTCCCCATTCACTGACTGTGTTCCCAGATACTCTGTTTCCATCTGAATGTTTTTTGAAGTTTAACGTTGACGTAGAGGACCCTTAGAGGCACCTTCCACCCAGATTATCGACTCAGTTTGTGTCGTTCCGGGGCCTTCCCATGTTCCTGATTCCGAATACGAGGTCGAGAATCCGCGAAAACCCCACAAACTCAGTTTCGGAGAACACGGAATTTTTGAGGTGAACATTGGTTGGTCGAGCAGGCACGGATGTGCGGGCATTACTGGAGCGGGCATACCCTCGATACATAGAGCCATGTACTCTGGTAACCTTCACTTTGAGGGCCATGAGAGGAGACAACCTTTACTCGGAAAAAAAGAAGTCATCCGGGGCGAAGCCCCGGATGCTATAATCCAGACTATATCGGAACGAATGTGAATGAACCAAATATAGGAGAGAATCTCTGAAGAATATCTCAGTGAAACCGAGAAATTGCCTTTTTAAAGCCTTTTTAATGCTGTGAAGAAATTTTTTCTGAAAGTTTCCTCAAAATTCAGGACAACGTTTCTCAGTTAGCCTCTTACTTGACCAGAATTGAGTTCCAGAAGTTTGGGAAAGCTCTTCGAGTTGAATTAAAACGAGAAATTGCGCTTAAATGTGCGCAGAGAGTCGCGGACAAAAATGCTGGTCTATTCCGTTAGTGAGTGACTTTTAAATCTTGGGACGTTGTCAGTTCTCCTCGCCGTTTCATGACGGTCAGAATGATATATAATGTTGCAGGGTTTCGTTGAGACCCCGCTGAGATCTACGACCAGAGCCAAATGCCCCGTCGGCTCTGGTCTGGCTCCGCTGCTCGTCTGCGTCTCCGCGCGCTGCGCGCTACCTCGCTACCCCAAAAGCGGGGCGCGGGGCATTTGACTCTGGTACCCTTTTCTCCGCTGTTTTGAACTCAATTTTGACAAGCTATA